CGATGAAAATTCACATTGAACAAAAAAATCCTCCTTTTTGTTGATACTTTCTTTTTTCTTTTGTGGAAATTAACCCCAAATGAAACTATTCATTAATAACATTCGAATGACGAAAGTGTCAAAGAACCGAATGAAATTAGTTTGTTCATTTTATTTTTTAAAAAAATGGTTAGTCCTTATTATATGCGATCACTTCCATATGTGCGCAGTAGGCATTAACAACCTCATCAGAAAATTAGTGCGATATCTGGAAATGGCCATCCCTCTCAATGTAAAAAAAAAACGATTTTTTCGGGTGAAAACTGTTTTTTCTCCATAGTAAATGAAGCTTAAAACCGATAAAAATTATCCTGCATCGGGAACGGCATCAATGTCTCTATTTTTGCAAGTTTATTGGAAAAAACGAAATTTGAAAATGAGATAAATGCCAAATTACCCTCATCGTATACAAATGCGCATGTGTGAATAATGGTCGTATCAAGCTGCACATGGCCAAATATCAGTGTTTGTCGAAAAAAAAAATAAGCTGCACAAACTGAAATACGTAACATGAAATGTTGTTTTTTGATATGTTGGTGACACATTCAGCAGTAGCCGTATTCGTATCCTTAATACCAGCGTAAAATAGTGAGCCACATAATACAAATGACGCCAATATCCATGAGTCGAAGAAAATCACTACATTTTAGAGAAAGACAGAGAGAGCATCTCCCTAGATCAGGCAACAATGAAACGGACCAACAAAAATGAATTTAAACAATTTGTGAGTGAATCTGGTTTCTACTTTGCGAAAATGGTTTAACAACTTAATTCAATATTTTTCGTATCTTTTTCGTTTAATATTGGCACATTTTCAAGCAATTGAGCGTATAGTTGCGTGTGACTCTTCGTTTGCAGAACTGTGAAGTGACATCTTACCAATATAGTCAAAAACATCAACAAACAATTCTCTTGAAGCACTAAACAAACTATCTGGTTGCAGGTAAAAAGAAAATATCTTTTGAAATAAGTGCAGAAAATCGAATCGTTTTTTTTTTTCAATTATGACACCAAATATCTTGATATCTTGTTCACACATACACGTATATACAGCTGAAAAACAATTCTAAGAGGGGTAACCGAGAAATTAGATGCTTCCTTTTATTTGTCGTGATGCTGTAATACTGCAAAGATGGTTATTTATTTCTTTGGCCAGGTGTAAACCAAACAAAATTAAGTATGTGCCATTTGATTGACAACACAAAGGGTTCCGATGCGCGTACGCAATGACAACAGCAATGACAACAGCATCACAAAAGAAACGAGCAGAGCGTACAACCACCATGAAAATCAGGGATTGAAAAGGAAAAATATGATTTGTTTTCTATTTTCTCTTTCAGCATATTTTCGGCAAATGTTCTGTTGATTTGCAGTGTCAATGAAAAAAATTGTGAATTGCACAACTATTGGAACATCAGATGAAAAATAATGTTATAATCATCTGCGCCATCAGATCACAATAAGCCGGATCATCGGAGAGAAAAAGAAGTTCAATTGAGACACTTTTGCTACTGCTGCTATGTTTACATGCCAAACTTAAGATGAAATTGAAAGAAGGCATTTTCAAATTTATCCAACGTAACAAGCATCCTCAGATGATAAATGGTTCTAAATTTAATGTTGTCCAAATCAAAAGAAGAAGGTAAGAAAACTTGCTTTTTTATTGTTGTTGTCCAATAGGATAAGCGAATTGGATTCATGTGACTTGCGCTATGATTAATCAAACTTGTGATTCAAAATTAACGCGGTATAAAATTATTATTATTAGCCCATTATTTATGTTGTTGATAGAAACTATTTTTCTTAGGCTTCTGATGGCATATGAGTGAAAATCCTTTAAACGATGATGGATTATGTTGCTGCTGACACGGAACAAAAGGCTGAATCGAATAAAAAGATGTTTAAAGGTAATTTTTTGCCACACATTATTTTTTCTATTTGTTCTTTATTATTTCGCCTCCATTTCAATCATTGTAGAAATATGGCGTGTGTCGTACAAACAATGTTGGCTGTTATAAAATCCTCGATTTATAGCTTCATTGCTATCAAATTATTTAACAACAAATTCAGATTACATTCTTACTTAACGAACAGGTATTTATATCGCCACCATATAGGACAAAGCAATCGTATCTATTCTTTGAAAGATCCATTTAAAATATTTGTACAGTTTCTGTGATAACTTTTGTAATTTTATTTTCTAGACAAAACCCAAAAAAAGTTTTTTCTTATAGTTTTGCCGTTGAAATTCAAATAGCATAGAGAAAATGATCGACCGAAAAGTTTTCGAAATGTATTCATTTCAAAAGCACCCCTTTTATGACAATTATCATGACTCTAACACTCACCCATTTATATGAGATTTAAATGAATATAATTATGGTTGGGAATACACGAAGAAGGGTACTTTTTGAAAGCGGTCTAACAACGAGTCACAAATAATAAAATGAATGTATTCGGTAGACGTTTTTCTACTTACTGTTTTTTTCCTCTCGATCGCTTGTGAACTTCGTGCTTCTTTTATGATACTATTTACTGTTTAATGTTCGGCACAAGCAGAGCATTTGCATTCGATTCTCAAATATGTTTTTTTTTTCACTTTATATTCAATTGAAACCTCATGAATGCATAATATCTTTGATGTTTAAATGGCGATGCCGTTGTCGTTGAAACGAAAAATCAAATACGAAAATGTAAAGTTAAAAAGTCGTTTTTCCACGTGAACGATTTGATGAGTACCGAAAAATTTGTAATGGATAATTTTTTATTGTTGCCGCCGCTTTCAGTTTGTTATAAAAACAGAGTGGATGCACAAAAAGTGAGAAAAGTGTGCTTGACGATAGAATAAAGTGATCGAAACGTTTTTTCATAGAGAATTTGCGAAAAATAAATTCAATTTCAATTGATAAAAATGCTTGAAGGCGAAAAGGCTATCGATTTATGCACTTGAAAGGTAGGGCCATTTATATTTTATTTACTTCAGATATTCCAATTTTATCGTTGTAGGTTTTTTCAATTTGGATCAAATCACAGGACAAAATTATTTATGCAATCATTTTAACTTGAATATAAATCATATTAAATATATGCAGTGGGCGAATTATTGAATTAATACTATAATTTGAATGATTGAAATGCGGTCAGAAATGGTGTCCAGTCACCCGTGCAGTTGAATGCACAACCCTTCGAAAATATTTTCATTAATTTTCTAAGTAATGTGCTTTTTTGATGACAAGATAATCGGTGGAAATTTATCAATGGTCAATTTCACACTCGCAAACAAGGAAATTAAATGCCCTATAATTCATAACTAACGCCATATGGACCAATTAACGAAAATTTGTAACATATTTTGACATGTTTTGCGACAGATGATTATGACGAATACTAAGCGATACTATGTCTATCTGCATATTGTTCCGCGTATGTACACAAAGTATTTTGGTGTATTTGGTGATTCACCTAATTTTTGGTATTTGCTTTAGAGATTTTCACATGAAATGCATTTTATTCATATGTTTTAATTGTTATTTATGCAGAGGCAAGCAAAATTTTAAGCTTTATTCTATGTCAACATTATGTATAGGATAGAAAGTTAGTTGCTGTCAGATTATGAGAAATTCCCATTGAGAATCAATATTAATGAATTTGCATGTCGAATAGCATTCGCTTCTTTTTAATTCTTCACTCCGTATATAATCTAATCAATTGCAAATGTTTGTGAAAGTGTGAATATTTACGATGCAAAAAGATGTAAACATGAGATTTGGACGAAAGTAATAATAAAAACCTTGTTTTTATAAATTTAAAATTAGAATTTAAAACTTCTTGTTTGAAAATGTCCGGGTATATGTTGTGATTTATAGCTCAATTATTGATTCATTGTGATAAATTCAATTTTATTGGAAATCTAAACATTTGGCAAAATAAAATGTTGTTTATGATTTACGTTGAAATTGTGCAAAGACGCACTCGGCTCGAATCCACACCACTAAATCATTCCACATCACTGCGCTAATTACTGTTTGACGCACGCACTCATTTCAAAAAGTAAAACCACCAAATGTGGTGCGCTGTTTACGATGTTATTGTAACAAAACCCTCAAAAACGATACGAATATATTTATCGCAATTTTTAGATCGCAAACGTTAACTAAGTTATTGTTTTGCAGTGAACAACAAGGATGACTATCGTCGCTTTTATTTAATGCGAATGGAGAAATTGCCACCCTTATACAAAACTCATCCATACGAACGTAATATTTAACGGGAAGTTTACGAATTTCCCCAAAAATCCATGTGACTAGTTGAATGCAGATTTCAGGAAACCAAATTGATTTTCATAAGAAACATAAGATGAATTGCTATAGACACCCTCACAAGTTGAAACATATGCTGATTTGCAGTAGGGTTTTTTTTAACAAACAGACAATATACATGTCTTACATTGGTGTTAAACAATACAGGAATTGTTTAGACTCTACGTTTTCCTTGTGCGTATTAAACGAATTCGTTTCATAATTTGTATGGCGTGAGGTAGTTCGTCGGTGGATGGATGGAAATTGCTTCAATTTAGTTGTTAGAGATTACAACACGATTACATAATAATAACATTGTGCCAAATCTGATCAATCAACAGAACACGACGCAAAGAATTTGAAGAAGAAAAACTTTGATCTTTTCACATTTGGTTTTTATGCTTCGATTACATTTTCAAGGCATTCACTTTGATTTTATTCCAATTTGTGGGCTTATGCCGAAATCACTTGGATGATGTTGATGAATGTGTTGACTGGTTAATGATGCGAAAACAATTACGGAAATCAACGCATATTTAAGGGGAGATTCTTTCAGGGGGAGATTTTCACATTTCCATCGTCTTTTAAACAATTCAGAGTTCATGCTTTTATTAAGTTGTTCTGTAATTCATTGAAAATTTTAATTTTACTATGGATACTCACCTCCCAGGCCACATTTTTGTCTGTTGGTTCTGCTGTCCATTTAATTGGATATGGTCCGAATTGAAAACCACGATGTAACGTGACTTTTGCATATATCGATCCATTTTGTACATCCAGTTCAGGCGGTGGCGATAAATATGCCAGTTCACTCAGCATTTGTTCTGCTGACCTCCCACGCTTTTCATTTCAATTTAACAAAAAAGAACACACGTTGACATAAAAATTCAATTATTCCACAATTCAAACACAATCAAATTGAGTTGGTATTTCAAGATCAAGTTTAAATTTTTACCTTGTGATTTGGCGAACTTATGTGAAATTCGTCCGGCATTGAACTTGCACTTCTTTTCGACATTTCGAGTTCGTCTCCGCTACCACCTATTAATTAACGAAACGAAAGAAAACAAAGTCAATCGTAAATATTATTTTTTTTGAAACGTAAACACTGAACAATAGAAAAAAAAAACTTCAAACAAAAAACTCTTTGATTTCAGGTCAATAAATTTTCGGTCGAAAATGCAAAGGATATTTTTATTAAGATGGCAATGTCATCTAATTTCATTTCAATCGTCGGTACGATTAACCAGGTAATTATTGAAATTATACGAAAATAGAAGAGTTATTTCAACGACACAATCACATTTGAACAAATAAAATCACGTTAATAAATTGTTGAGAATTTTAAATTAAATCAAAACAACAATCGTATCGGATTCTATTTTGGTGGCTCCATTTTTTTATTTGCGACTATTTTCTGTTCGAGTAGAGCTGAAATAGTTTTTGTTATAGTATTTATCAACACTTTTCACTTTGCTTGTAATATTTAACATCTTTATCTTTGAATCGTATTTTGGTCTTCAAAGAGAATTTTGGAAACTGTCAAAGGTGAATGGAACGAACAAAATATTTTGAATTTTTCTTTGAAACAATTGAATTATTTTGAACTGGCATGTCTTTGGCGCGGCAGAATTTTCCTCTTGATCAGATTTGTTCACAATTGATTTAAGAAAACATATTCTTATCAACAAAATTTAAAAAAAAGTATATATTTTTTAACTTATGATGATTTCTTTTACAAACATATTTTCTCAAATGATTTCTTTTACCTGTTGTCTCATATGATGAAGATAATGACAAATTCATTTTCAATCTTTCTTTTCAAATTTTATAAAGTGATTGGACTAAATACTAAATGGTAATTTTCTGCACATTTGTCATTTCTTAATCACTTCGCTGAAGTTTTTGATTTATTGATAAAGTTGCACGAAAAATTGGAGTTTTTAAACACTTTTTAAAATTTAACTTTTAATTTCCACAATCGATTGATCGTTGAATTCAATGTCCGTATTAAAAGTAAGACAATCACTTTTATAAATAAATTTCGAGGCCAGAAAAAAATTGTATTTATTAAATATATTTTGATTAATGTTAATAAATTAGAGATATGGCACTTCAACTAGTTGAAAATTTTACGATCGCTTAAATTTATCGAAGAGATCGGTTTTCAACACTATGATGATGTCGCACTCTCAAACGTTTCAGTTGCACAGTTTCGAAGCGAATAGTTAGTAAACTGTGATAGGCCTCTCTGGTATCCGCTTTTGTATTGTCTGTCTGCTGTGTGTGAACAGCAACTACTGTATAGTATCGCAGGCGAAAGAGCGAGTATCAGTTGTTGTTGTTAGAAGGATGCTTGAAAAATTGTTTTGATTTAATTGTCAAAATGCCAAGGGGCAGACGAACATCCCCTTCTCTTTATTTTCAACTCTGCCTATGTACCGAGAGCATATGGTTATAGCACACTAACTCAGTCACTCTCTCGCATACATACATATAAAATCACACACAAATACAAACACAAACACATGAACTGATCAAAAATGATACAGCCAGGACACAACCACATCTAAAAAGATACTATATTACTACCGATGCCACATTGATATAGTTTTGGCATATAATCATCGCACAAAAATAATTCGATTGTATTGTCACTGCACAAGCACACACACTTATACACGCGCACGTACACACGATACCAATACTCGTAGCATGGATATAGAGTCACACAATCATAGTCCCGTTTTCGGATTACTACAAACATAAATCCATATGCTATCCGTACAATGGCCCAAAAGAAACGGATACATTCCATATTAAGCGCATTTAGTCATTCTGGTGTATTCATTTGTTTTGTGTGCGCTTCTCTGTCATGTTGTTTTTTCTCTTCGTTCATATACAGTGCCGTTCGTTCGTCTGTCAGATATTCAAGGCATATAGAGTCGAAAATAGAGAGACATCGTGACGAGCTGAATTGAATGTTACTGCATTGTTGTTGCTGTTCTACCGCCAATGTATCTCTCTCAACGTTTTCCAATTCAAACAAACAGCACATCAACAAAAGGGAGTGGCGTTGGGCGGTCTTTAAGGGATGTTTTCATCTTTGTGTGTTTGCATGTGATACGTATCAGATGTGTACGCAAACATTTAGGAGATTTGCTCAGCTTTGACTCATCCGCACCAAAGTTTGACTCTCTCTCACTCTCTGTGATGTTACAATGAATACGAATCTACTATACGAGAAAAATTCCTTTGTCACATTAAAACACTAAGAACTGTTTCGGTTGTGGTTTATCGGTGTGTATTGATACACCAGAAAACGAGGAGAGAGAACTTGAAGAATAAAAATCAATATATTTTTTTGTCATTCCATAACTCCATATACATACAATACGTTAAATGGATCTATCAGATCTGAATCCTGGAAAATCGCTTTCAAATTTCATCTGTACCAATTTTAATAAAAAGGCGTGTGCTCTTGCTATCATCGTTGACTTCATTATATGCAGTTGTCATCGTATCAATGAACGAAAAATGGTATATAAAGCGAATCAGCTCGTCGTATGCAGTAGAATCGAAAACTGGTATCTTTTTAAAAGGCAATGTTCATTCGAAAAAGAGCAAAAAGGAAAACGTTAGATTTTCCCTCTTTTTTCCACTTTTAGCATCTCTCGACTTCATTCCAATGTGATATAACTTTTTTTATCGTCAAAATACATAATATAAAAGAAAATTGCGGAAAATGTTATGTACGGTGAGCTCATGCTCACAGATGCTGCTCATCCACATGCTCGTATTCGGCTAACCGCACTTATACACTGTAGTATCTTTCATATATTGTCTGCTTGATTCTGTGTTTGGTGTGTTGCAAAATAGCTAAAGAAGCGATTATGGATGATATTGTGGTCGCAGCAAATAGTATATTTGTAAGATGGTAGTAGTAGTGGCTCTCGTCTTCACTTCAATGATAGAACTGTGTATGTGTGATCTGCGATGTGCGTCCTAAATAAGGGATACAACTTTGAAGTGGTTTTTCTCAATTTTTGGTTGGTGGATGATGATTTTGCATCCTATGATATTACATTTGGGGTTGGATTAATCAAAGAATGTATACAGAAAAACAAAATGCTTCAGCACTGAGAGCAATTTCATATTCCCTTGTATTATCTACTCCACATCATTCGTTTGTTCCATGAGTTTGCGTTCTATCTTGTATCTTTTCTCGCTTCAGCGCAATGGTATTCTACGCAGAAATAAGATGTCTTTCGCCCAGATTGATCTGAAGCAATCTAAATGCGATGGCTCTTTCAAGGAATTTAAACTCGGAAAATGGCCCTCTCTTTCCAGCGATGTGGAGAATGAGATGTAGGCAGGGCTAAGAATACTTCCCATTGAAGTCTTAAACAAGAATATGGCTTTTGTGTGTGTCGCAGAAGTTTTATTTATTTCGATTTTTTATAAATTTTATTCAATCCAATGAAATATATAGTTAGTTTCACAGTATTCAAATTCAGTTGTGATGAGAGATAACTTGAATTTCACAGAAAAAAGAAAGAAAGAAATCTGTGCACAAATTAACAATAAATTTAATTCAGTATATACGAGTATAAAAAAAGTTATTTAAATTAAAATGATAGCTTCTTCCACATGAATTACTTTCAATATATACCTTTAGCACTTGATTATGTAAATTTGGTTGCATCAAAGTGACTTTTTGTATTGTACAAAGGTATGACGCACTACAAAATGATACAAGGACAGCTATCATCCATGTTGCTCTATTTGTTCAAATATGCAAATTAGAAAAGGGGTATCTTTGTTAGGAATACGGTATCTAAATTATGAATATTATTCATTCAATTCTATCTCTTATCCCACTAAATCTTATATTTTTAATTCATACTAGTTCTAATTACATATTCATAGTTTGGGTTAAATTATGTCATGTAAGATTTGTGTTTGTGTCATATTATGTGTTGAAAACATGAAAAAAGTTTATTGCGTGAAAATTATGGCTCTAATATTATTTTCATGGATGAACTCAAACGTTGTCCTATATATTGAGAAAATGTGTAAGACGATGAGATGAATCATGCGCCGTTAGTGTCATAATTTATGATGATGATTTCTGTTACAGGGCGACATGCTACATTAAGGATCAATACTTACGCAAAAACTGGATTCAATCCTTTTAAAATGATTTTAAAATTGAATCAAAATGATATTAATGCGAAAAAAGGTGTAAAATGGCAATGTATTGAATGCCAAATCGATGTCATTTTCAAGATATAAACAATTAATATGCAAAATGAAAAGACGAAAAGCAACGGCAATGTACAGAGGAAGGTGATGACCCTACTTTCATAAATTCATGTCGTTTACAATGACTTCTCATTTGAATGCCATTCTATGAACTCCTGTCGTGAAACGTCGCTGAGCATCCGACATTGTTGTGAATTCATCCTAATAGCTGTAAACATGGAAATTCGATTGTGTCACTTTGAAGGTTATTCAATATCAAGATGGGACGTGGTTTATAATTTTTGGCGCATTTTCTTAACTCAATAGGTGAATAACAAATATCAGCCAAACAACGATTCAATTTGAGATCATTAAATCTCAATATAACATACACATAAAATAGATTCAAAAACTCCTGCTGACATGCCTTCAAATGGATGTCATATTGTAAAAAGAAATACATTTTTTTAACTGTTTTGAAACTGCTCAAAGTCAACTGCTCTTATCATTTTTTTATATAGGCCAAACCAAATACGTTTCACCCATGTGGCTCAAAACATTCAATAGACATTTAACGACTTGTGTGACTATTTTGTTCAACATATATCATTGAATCGTGAAATTTAAGACCCAACCGAACATTTCAGCAATATCTCGATTCTTGTAGAAGAAGGGCACTGTGAGAAAACCGTAATTTACGGTTGAAAAGTAATGTAGTGTAGGCTGTTGAATTTTTCTTTTCTTTTATAATTGAGAACATTACTGAATAAAAGAGATAGATATTTTCACTAGAGCCGTTGTTATCGCATTTCTGAAAAAATGGACGAAACAGTTCCATTTATTCCCAAACAAATGAAGTATTGTCAAGTGGACTGGGATAATTAAAAAGTGTTTGACCATTGCTAATTAATATAAATTTTCTTCGCACGTTATTTCGGAAGACCATAGACATAAGTAAAATAAAAACATATACCACGAAAACTACGATCGTCTATTGTCCAATTATTCTTAAATGCATAGACATTTTTGTGGTTTCTTTGCTTGAAAGATTGAAATAGCGTTTTGTCGTCTTTCTCTTTGATTATTTGTCGTTGACATGGTGATTCTACGATTCCCTTATGCGTACTTTGATATACTGAAATAACTGTGATTGTTGTGAATTGAACAAAACCAAAAAGCCACTGAACGCAGCAAGGTAAGAAAATTAATTACAAATAACATTTTGTGTGCGTGACAAAAACATGACATCGCATATACAAATCAATTGAGCTGAGTGCATTATATATTGGATGCCGGGTGACATCAAATAAATGTGTGGTCTTTGTTCTAGTGTTTTGATGTGGATTAGTACATTTGTCATTGCTCGTAAAGCCAGACATCTTCACTGAATGAATTCTGTAAATATAATTGAATGCCATGGCAGTGATTGCACATTGGATTGAAAATATTGTAAATTGATTTTATCACCCCTGCGCTCATTGTATGACAATTTAATGACTCAAACTTCGCCCTTCCTGAAAATTCACCTCTTTTTTGGTATTATTAGTGCGAAATACGAAGAAAAGGCTTAAGAAAAACCATTAATTTTCCTCAATTTCGATTCCTCAATAAAGTCTTTTACGAACAATCTATCTAATCTATTTTCAATGGTATGACAAACGAAGTTTTCCGTTCTTGGCAACAAATACTGTAGCTAGAGTTTGACAACTTGATAAACCTTTTTCAATTTTGTCAATCCCATTGTTCGATAGAGTTTTACGGTTTTTGGGTAAAAAAAGTATAAAAAGACAATGTATAAAAATCAAGGAAAAATCGATACCGCTTATTAGGCGTTTTTTGGTGCAAATCCAAAGGTCAAAGGCAGAAGCAACAAAAATCTAGGCTTTACCCTCATTGAATGTGACATCGGCATTAATTGTACAATGTATAAGTATACAGGTTGCTTCCAGACTACT